ATTTTAGAAATATCTGAAGCAAAGTTCTCAATCACCGCCGTGTGATTGATGTCTGCTGTTCTGCTGAGAAGTGAGGACAATCGCCGTATTGTGCCCACTTTCTGTGAAACTAGCCATGTTATTGTTTTCATATTTTGCCAAATTAATGTAAATGTGTGATGTTAAACTTTGATTCTGCAAATAAATGACCGCATTCATTTTGATGGGTCAAAGGTAAATAACGTCTCTCGTTACATTTCTGTTAAACTCAATGCACGACGTTGACACAGTCAGAAAAATGAAGAACTCACAAAATGTATGAATATATTCTGCATATGTCATACTACACTAGCTTAAAGCTAATAGTAGCATAAAGCTAGATAAAGGCTAAATGTATCAAAGCAGTAGCTAAAAATTAAAAGCAGCAAAAACTAATAGTAATAGCATTCATCTCCTGAATTATCGGAAGGTTTTGATGTATGAATGGTTAACTCGTTTATGCACAAAATATGCAGACTTTGTTTGATTGCAAACATTAAATGAAAAAAAACAACAACAGGAAAATTACAGTGTGAACACTTAATCAGCTTGCACATAATTCATAGTTCAAAACCTTGGTTTTTTTTTTATTATATAAAGTCAGATTATTAACCAGAAGTTTTAATATTAAAGTTAGTAATAAAAAACTCTTACTCATCCCGTCACTGTTTTCTATTTCTGTGGACAAATCTTTCTTCCAAACTTTTTTTTGTTGTTATTTCTTAATTTTAAATGAAATAGTAGTCAAGTAGCAAAATAGTCCAGCTGTGGAAAGAGTCCCATTGAACAACAGCATGTCGCTGCTGCTAAACGATGAAGAGGATTTAATCACAACTCATCCTGCAGCACAGAATGGACATAAACAACGTAATTAATCAAGAACACCTTTCACTAATGTCACCTCACTGAGACTGAAAGACTACCTGATCTGAACTGGATGTGATGGCACAACGTTAGACGGTGCTTAAAGTTCATTTTATAGCTGGGATGGAATGATAGCCTGTTTGTGATTAGTATCTCAAACCTGTATTGCTTATGCACACAACAAAGTTCCAAGTTCAACACTTGATATGGCCGTGAATCCAATAAACACATAAAGTCATCCAGGCTTTATTTATTACTGTTATTATCTTCAGCAACAGATACGAGCGTTTCAGAAGTCTAAGTTTACCCATCATGCTCACAAATTGTTTTGGATTTGTTTCAAAGAAGGACTGAACATCAAAGTAACAGCTAATCATTTCTTTGTAGTAATTTTCATTTTGACCACGTCACAATTCAACATTACTGTCAAAATTTGTCTGTGGAGTTGGAATTTAGTTTGTAGAGATTAGGAAATATTATAGATAGCGGCATAGATGGAGGATAAAACAGAAGCTTGACTCAATTAGTAATTGGTTTTAACGTTTTTTTTTTCTCAATTTTCACACATTTAAGCTTAAAACTGATGACTGATGGTTGAAACTGTTTGATTTACTCTGTTAGAATATTTTTATAGGTTGAAGGGACAATAGGTTTGCAGGAATTTGACAAAAATGACTATAATTAAGTCTGTTAAACATAAAAACAATTGCTTTTATCCTAAATGCATTGTGAAAATCTATTTAATCATGACATTTTTTTGACAATATGTAAATATTTTGTTCAATATTGCCCAAAATTCATGTTGTGTTAAAGGATAAGTCTGAAAGTTTATCTTTTTAACATTTATGCTTAAAGTCAGCCTGAACTTAATTATATTACAGGTGAGGAAACATCCGGCAATTATGAATATGTGATGATCTGCTCAGGACTTTGGATGTCTAAACTTCTTTTATGATTGTCCGCTGAATGACTGAGCAGATTTTTCACCCTGAGAGAAACAAGCAAACAAACCCTCTGACTTCATCTCAATGTGAAAGAAGAAGCATGAACTGCAACATGAGCTGCAATAAGACTGAAATATCTCCCTTTAATCTTTCTCATTGCTTTCTTGCTAGAAAAATTAGGTTCTACCTGGAAAAAAAAGAAAATTAATTAAATTTAGATTGATTTAAAGAGTGCCAATTGGTGAGACAGGGGGATCAGGCTGGAAAGGATGTGCAGCAGGTTAGGCTTGTTAAAGATACAAATGGTAATGTTCTAACAAGTGAGGAGATTATGATGAGAAGAGGAAGAAGTACTTTGAGGAGCTAATTAATGAAGAGAATGAAAGAGAAAGAAGAGTAGAGTGGGAAAGATTAGTGAGGGTGAAGTCTGGAAAACTCTGTAAAGAATGAAGAAGGGGAAGGCAGTAGGACCTGATGACATACAGTGGAGGTTTGGAAATGTCTTGGAGAGATGTCAGTGAGGTTTTTGACTCAAATATTCAATGACATATTTGAGGGTGAGAAAATCACTGAGGAATAGAGAAGAAGTGTGCTGGTGTCCATTTTTAAGAACAAGGGTGATGTACAGAGTTGTAGCAACTACAGGGGAATTAAGTTGATGAGCCACAGGATGAAGATCTGGGAGAGAGTTGTGGAAGCAAGACTTAGACGAGAGGTGACTATCTATGAGCAGCAGTATGGTTTCACGCCTAGAAAGAGACATCACAGATGCCATATTTGCTTTGAGGATGCTGATGAAGAAGTACAGATGGTCAGAAAGGTCTTCATTGTGTCTGTGGATTTAGAAAAAGCATGACAGAGTGCCAAGGGAGGAGGTTTGGTATTGCATGAGGAAATCTGGAGTGGCAGAAAAGTATGTTAGACTGGTACAGGACATGTATGAGGACAGCAGGACAGTGGTGAGATGTGCTTCAAGGTGGAGGTGGGAGTGCATCAAGGATCGGCTCTGAGACCCTTCTTGTTTACTCTGGTGATGGACCAACTGACAGATGAGGTCAGGCAAGAACCCCTATGGACTATGATGTTTGCAGATGACATTGTGATCTGTGGTGAGAACAGGGAACAGGTGGAGGAAAACTTGGAGAGGTGGAGGTATGCACTTGAAAGAAGAGGAATGAAAGTCAGCCATTGTAAGACAGAGTACATGTGTGTGAATGAGAGGGAGGAGGTGGAACAGTGAGGCTACAAGGAGCAGAGGTCACAAAGGTGCAGGACTTCAAGCACTTGGGGTTCACTGTCCAGGAAAATGTGGAGTGTGGTAAAGAAGTGAAGAAGAGAGTCCAGGCAGGATGGAGTGGATGGAAAAAAGTTTCAGGAGTGATTTGTGACAAAAGGCTATCAGCAAAGGTCAAAGGAAAAGTTTACAAGACAGTGGTGAGACCAGTTATGTTGTACAGTCTGGAGACAGTGGCAACGACAAAAAGACAGGAGACAGAACTGGAAGTAGCAGAAATGAAGATGTTGAGGTTCTCCTTAGGAGTGACAAGGATGGATAAGATTAGGAATGAGATCATCAGAGGTACAGCACAGGTTGAACAAGATAAAGTTAAGGAGGCCAGAGTGAGATGGTTTGGACATGTCAAGAGGAGGGACAGTGGGTATACTGGTAGAAGGATGTTAGAAATGCAGCTGCCAGGAAAAAGAAAAAGAGAAGACATATGGATGCAGTTAGAGAGGACATGGAGGTAGTTGGAGTGAAGACAGAGGATGCAGAGGACAGAGTGAGATGGAGGAGGATGACTCACTGTGGCGACTCCAAAGCCGAAAAAAGAAGGTGATGAAGATCGATTTAAAGAGTGTTGGGCCGTGTGGTCCCTGTTAAATTTTAGTTCAAATAATTTGAAGTGGATTTCTGTATAAAAAAAATGTATGTTTAAAAGTTTATAAAGTAGTGTTTGCATATACTGCTCTAAAATGTTTGAGATTGCAGTAGCTTTAAAACCCTTGCAATCCTCTTTGGTCTCGCCCCTTATTGACTATACATTAACTGAACCATCAGATCAGTTCGACTCAAACTGAGGTTGTTCCACAACATTTAGGATGTAGGCTCCACCGACGATACGCAGAAAAGTTTTACAAGTTTAAAGGTTCTGCTACACTTACGCACAAGTTTCCTGAACTGCTGATGTAAGCAGTCCATTTTGCACATGTTCATAATCAGTTTGTGCCAAAGAAGTATGAGCTGTTTTTATTTGTTTTATGGTCTTTTTCATATTATTGTCATCCTGTCATTAAACTTTGATGATATGCTGAAATGCTTCCTATCTAACAGGAAACTGTAAAATGTATTAAACAAGTTTAAAGGAATATCTTCTCTGTATATCTTGCTATATTTTGATGTCAATAATGTGGACGCTGTCGTCACCTCAAGGCAGGTGTGGGTGTTTCACCTTTGCCACCCACATTTTGATGTTGTCACTCGGGGGAGTTGATCCTGCGACTTTTCGATCACAGGCATATCTACTCTAACCTCTGTGCCGCCAATACATAAATAAATAAATAAATAAATAAATAAACAAATAAATAAATAATTGTTTTATAAACTTTTCACAGAAGCCCATTTAACAACATGTGAACTAAGTAAAAATTGACCAATTAGTCATTAAAGTTTGGAGAAAACTGTTTGCTGCAAACTTGTGAACAAAGACAGAAATCTGAATAAATGAACTATGAATCTTTACACAGACCCAAAGGATGCTGTTTGTAAAATATTCAAAGTATTAATACAAAAAAAATACCCAAAGGTACAAGAAATCTAGGCTGTGCAAAACATACTGTTGGCAAACAAGGTTCTGCAGATGATTTTGTGTTAAATCTGAAAATTATGAAATCGAGCAATCTTCTCTTTAGACTACACTGCCATCTAGTGGATTTAAATAAAATTACAAGTGTTTTGTATTGAAGCTGTTGACATGAACCTGATATAATTTAAAGCGTTTCAGAGTTTAAGTAATTGTTTGTACAAAGCATTGTGATATAAAATAGTATATATAAGTACAATATATTCTCCAGTGAGACAGATGTTAGCTGTTGGCTCTGACAGTGGAGGTGCAGATGTGCAGCCCTGCCCTGCTGACAGCTGCTCAGAAATCTCTGCCCTCAGGTGTTTTCCGCGTTTTCCGCCGACTCTTCACCTCCTGCCTCGTCTGACTCTTGTTTTAAAGCAAAAACTCTTTTTTCCAACCTCTCCATTTAGCGTCTGTTGGTGTTTGAGTTGTTTCAAAGGTTGACCATGGGAGAAGTGAGGGAGAAGCCGAGCTTCTCTGAAGTTATTGCTCAGATTTTACAGGAGTCACCAGGAGCCAGGAAGGACCTGGTGGACAACCACAGCAACCTCCTCCGAGTAGCAGATTACTGTGAGAAGAATTATCTCCAGGTGAGTACAACTCATTAAAACTGTTTAACAAGGACTAGAACAGATCTGGGCATTTTCTGCAGGGTGTCATTAAAGCTACTGATTCTCCAACATGACTTTGTAAAAATTTAAACACAAAAAATAAAGTCCACATTTTGTATGAACTGTATGAGAAGTTTTGAGAAAACCAAAAATAAATCAAAACGTTAAAGCTGCTTCCATGGTTGTAACAGTGTCTGTCACTCCCTGACTGCCAAATTTATACAAGGCAGACAGAAAGGCAGACTGAAAAATAAGCTTCAAAAACAAACAGTTTCTTTGTGAAAACTAAAAGTCAACTTTGGAAAATTCTTCAACCGTGAGCGACAGAAGAGTCTGATGGTCGCACGTGTGGTTTTTATGCTTCTACAGTGTTTTATGTAGGTGGTAGGACATGTTAAATAAGACTTACACTTGTGAAGAGATCACTTTGAGCCAACATAAAACACATCTAGAAGCTTGGCTGTGTGTTTTCTGCTGATAGGATTCGAGAGAAAGTCCTACAGTAGTGAGATACACACTGATGAAAGAAGACAAAAATCTTTATGTTTTCATGCATAATTTGTTTATCTATTAAAATAAGAAGAGTTTGTTACACAACAGAAAATTTTAAATAATAAGTTTCAGCATGCATCAACTATCACTAGAAGGTTCTGCAGAAAAAAAATGTTAAAAATCATCTAATTTAAACAGTAAAAGTACGTAAGTTTCTTTTGGTTGCTCCCTTCTTCAGGGGTTGCCCCAGTGAGCAAACTCACATGAAAGATTTGGCAATTGTTTGACACTGGAGGCCACAACCTGGACTCAAACACACAACCTCAGGACTACAAGGCCACAGCGCTGACCACCATGCTACTGCAGCCTCCATCTAATTTAATTTTGTAACAACTGTGGGGAAAAAAAACATCAAATGTCAGTTCAGACATGTACAGTCCAACTTTCTATGAATCATTTAAACTTTGAATGTGTAGCGCACAGAATACAAATGGGTTTTCTCATCTGCTTTGTCAAAACGTAATTTATCATTTTTATTCTTTGCAGTATATATATATTATTATTATTTTTATAATTTTGTCAGTATTAGACAAAACAAATATAAATTATAGCAGCCTATCCCAGTCAAGTGGCATGTTTGGATGGATGCTTTTCTGGTTTCATCTCAAAGCTGCACATAAAGATGCAGGATCAAAACAGAATAGTAGTGTGGGGTCATCAGGGTTCTCCCTTATTCAAACCTTTCGTGATGGCCCCACAACACTTTGAGCAACTGAAATAACTTCAAACACAGTTTAACGAGTGGATATCTTGATGGTTTAAATCACGCTACAGGCAGAGGATCCAACGAAAGCTGTTGAAGAGGCCAAAGCTCTGACCACCCAGGCTTTAGCCAGTGTCACCTACCAGATCAACAATGTGGCCAGCACTGTGCTCAGACTGCTGGACTCTCAGGCCATGCAGATCAAAGCTATGGAGTCCTCCATCAACCTGCTGTCACTGGTGAGGAAAGCATGACAAAACACATGATCTCTGAGAGATGTGTGAATCCTTCGCACAAAAAGCTCTTGTAGAAAATGACACAATCGTTTTTGGGAGAGATACCAGTTACAGAAACTGAATTATGAAGATCTGAACATGTTGCAGTGATGCACGGCTCAGTCATAAGTTGCAACGCAGACCCTGCTAATAATAATAATAATAATGTCTGGGAAGTAGCGTGAGAAACAAAGTAAAAGCACTTTTAAATATCTTATAATATATGCAAATAACATGTATTTTAACAGATTTGATTTACTTCTAACTTCTGTATAACCAGTTTATTATTAACACACATTGAAGTAAATGAACCAAATGTAAGAAACAAATCAGAAACACTTTTTTAAAATTATCTACATTTGTATTTTATATTTTATGTTCTAATTTGTTTCAACAAAGCCTCATATTTGTTAACCTAAAGATTTCATTCACCATAAAATTTGACTCATTTTCTTTACAGAAGATGTTTTCTAATGATGATGTTTCATCAAGAAGGTTCTGAGGTGCTCTCTTTCTCTCTCGCTCTCTGTGCGTGTGTGTAATAAATACATATGTGGAATTTGTTGCAGTAATGAAAATTGCCAGACTATTACAGGTACATACTTTTACTACAATCTTGACTCGGTATGTGATTCACATTCAGTGTTTTCTGCTTGAATTAAGAGGAAAAGCTACTTAAAAAATACAATTTGCATTATTAATTCACTTCCTCAATTTAGTTTTGGATGTTCAGGAAAAAAAAACATTTTAAACCCATATTGCAGCATAACTCCAGCAGGTTACCACATCTGATCCATCCTACGAAAACAGGAGTGACATAAACGGCCACACTCTGTGGATTTCTCAACATGACGGCTGTTTGTTTGTGTGTTTAGTTGCATCTCTTTTTTATATTCTTCATTTAAATCGTGCTGCTTTTTTTTTCATTCATTCATTCAACCTTTATTTAAACAGATAAATCACATTGAGCCTTGAAGACTCATTTACAAGTGAGACCTGTTTGGACAAACAAAAACAGTGGTTAACTGGACACATGTTGGAGTTGGAGGCGAAAAAAATTCCTATCAGACTTTTTTTTTCTTGCCTGAGAAAAAAAAACCCTCTAATATTAAAAAAACACCTCGCACAAATAAGCACATAGTGACATAGACATTCTGCAGGGGGGGGGGGGGGGCAAGAGCGGTAAGCATGTTCATAGATGCTCTCTCTCAAGGTCACTGTAAGAGTTCTGATAAGGATGGAAAATCAGTCAATGTCCTCCGGTGAGATCCATAAACATTCTTGAGGTATGTCGAGGAATGGCCAAGAATAACGTCTATGAGAATCCAAGAGTCCTGAAATGATGACACAAAGTTTATTCAGCTGGTTTCATCTGGTTATCAGTTGAAAATTCCTCAGGGAGGGGGTGGTGAGCATCAAATCGCATGTACTCCAGGTGAATTCAGATAAGATGGCCTTCAAGGCCAGCCAAGGGGAGCCAACTTAGATAAACACACAGTTGTTTGGGGGACAGGCAGGACTTAATGACATCTACCTTTAGTCTGTGTTGGTCGACTCGGTTCAGAAATGTCCAAAATAACTTGGTCACACCGATGGAATGTGACTGAGTAAAATCCCCAAGATCTGATCCATTCAGCCCAAAGCATTTGAGTCTGGGTACTCGAGACACGAACCAAGCCATCATAAGGCAAGCAGCGCGATAGGGTCCAAATTTGCTGCAGACGACTTCCTCGATTGTAGAAAAAACTGCAACCAGCCAAATCCAAAAAGCAGGAACCAGTTATCGTAAATCCAATTAAATATGCGTCCTTAAAATCCACAGATGGCAGCAGAGATAGACACATCATCAAGTCTTCCTGTCGATGAGATATCCAGCTGCGTGCGTGCCGACGGGGCAATTCGACTCGCCTAAAGCCTGTCTTCTCTTCGAAGAAATGTTGTAAATTGAGTTGAGGGACCAACTGATCAAAACAACTCCATAAATATGGTTCGGAGGATATGCAAGAGAGGCTCAGAAGCAGTTTCACTGACAGACAGAGCGCAAAGCAAAGCAGAGAGGGAGGGGAGAAGCATCCGATCTCGGTGAGAGCAAGTGGTCAAGTATTAAGTGACAAGTTTTTATCAAGTGACGCACAATAATTTTATATTTTATGAAGATTATTCCTTCAAAGTTTTATCCTTTGGTAATAAAAGTGTTTAAATATATAGAAACAACAGACTAAACCTTAAGTTTTAATACCTACTTTATTTGTAAACAATTATTGAAATTTAGCCAAAGGAAGAAAAAAAGTCATGGTCTGTGATTTGTGTGTTTAGTTTTTCTGTGTTGTTTTTGTGCTGCTTATGTCGGTTTTTCCCGTGCCATTTCTCATGTCTCCCTCTGTCAGTATTTTTACAGCCAGTCTGCCACCTTCACCTGTCTCTGATCCTGAGATGTTTGTTATTTGTACATTGTTAGCGTCTCCTTAAATACGGTCTCATTTTCGGTGCATTATGCTGTGAAGCTGCTCATGTTCGTTCCCCTTTTGAGTTTATTAAGAGTTTTCCCATTTGTCAATTCCTTGTGCAGCCTCAGCAATCTTTATGTTTTGGTTTTCTTGTTTAGTAAATTAGTTAATTTTTATATTTGAGAGTACTGGTTTCACATTTGTGTTCTGATCCTCCTCAAAACATGACAGAATGCACCCTAGAGTTGCAGTCGGGCCCAAAAAATCTGATCCGACCCGGCCCCAGCCCACAGTCATATTTTCCGAACCCCACCCGACCCAACGAATTAACAGTAATTACAGGTCCGAACCTGGAAACCCCCCCAACATTTTTAATTAGCTATTAATGGTCGGGGACGTGCAGCTGAATAAAAGTGGAATAAGACTAAGCGCAGAGGTGACAGGGCCTTCTCTGTAACAGGACCAAGACTTTGGAACGAGTTACCTCTGCTTGTCAGACAGGCCCCCTCCCTCTCGGTTTTCAAGTCCGGTTTACATTTGTAAAAACCCACTACTATTCAGTAGCTTTCAACACAGATGATCTGTGTTTTGAACCTGTATGCTCCACACTGGTTAGTCGTCATTATCTCCATCGTTTTTATGTCTATATTCCGATTTACTTCATTTTGTATTTTCTTTGTGTGTTACCTGTTGTTCTGTCTGTACAGCACTTTGGTTGGCCTTGTCGCTGTTTTAAGTGCTCTATAAATAAAATGGTATGGTATGGTATGGTATGGTATGGTATGGTATGGTATGGTATGGTATGGTATGGTATGGTATGGTATGGTATGGTATGGTATCGTATTGTATGGTATGGTATGGTAAGATTCAGAGCTGAGAGGTGTTTGTATTTTCATGGCTAGTCCTACACTAGGTTTACAAGTGGGTGCACTGGTCATAAAAAACGTCCTAATGTCTTTCTAATGTGCGTTCACATTTACTATCCTCCTCTATTCCCCATAAAGTTACCAAGTGTGTTACAAAAATATGAATTAAAACAAAGAAACACCCTTCTCTGTTCATTGTTTAAACAGTCAGTCTCATATGGTGAAGACCTAATGAGTATTGACGACAGTGGCATGTTTTTTTTTTTTTTTGTGGAAAAGTAAAGATTTCAGACAAACATTGCATCTCATTGTGGACAAAGTTAACATTACTAACACTGATATATTTTACCTCTATGTTAGATTTACTGTTCTGGATAAAGTTTTACAAGTGCTAGGTTATATAAACGTTAGCTTGCTAAATTGAGAGGCACGTAACTAATGACAAGAGGGTTGGAGGATTGAAGAGAATTTATCATTGTGGATTTTTTTATTTTACGGATCAGTTACTATAAACTTAACATGCTCTGTTCAGCAAAATATGCTGCACAGTATTTAGTTGCTCCCTGCTTTTGGGTCTCATCTCGGCTGTGCTATGTCAAGTGTGCAGCATGGCCATGACTTGCAAGTAGTCCGCATGCACCCTCTGCTGGATACATTGTACAATTACTCCATTTGCAAGTAAGGACGCAACTTGTTCCCAGCATTTTAGCGGTGAAGATTAGAAGTGTTATATCAGCACATAATATACTGTATGTCCCCAAAACACATATCGGCTATCGGCCAAAAATATCGGGCCTTCTGATATAGCGGTCGGGCTTTAATACAGCGTGGTGAGTTTCTTCTTTAGTTCAAGCTCTGTTCTGATTGTTTTTACACCTGCTGTGCTCACGGGGTAATGTGCATGTTAATCACAGAACAACAATCTGAGCAGCATTGTGTCACATAATTGTCCCCTAATTAAACCCAGTACTGATGTTCCATTCTCACTGAAGCTGAGTATAACAGCAGCTAACCGTGTTTCATCGTGGAAGATTTTTAGTCTTTGCTCTGAAACTGAAAGCACTAATCTTTGTATTATATTTCCTCACTGCATCTGTTAGGCAATTAAGCTAATCAAGAGAAAACAACAAAAACTCCGAACAGTGTAAATACCAAAATAATACAATTGTTCCGATATCCATTCCTCAAAAAAGAAAACGTTTGGTATACACATTTACCTGCCATGTATGAATGGTCTCGATCAGAGATGAGCAATTGCATGTATATTAGTGCAAATCTGAACAGGGCCTTTGTGGGGGAGAATAAAAAAAAGCTCTTGTGTAAATAAATTCTTCTGTGTTCTGGTCCAGGCTGCAGCGATACACTTTGAGAAAGTTGCTCGGCAGGAGATCAGAGCCTTCTCCACTCCCAAAAACAAAACGCTCTCCATGCCCATGATGCCGCCGACGTTAGGCAGAGAACCAGAGGAAATCTATGAAAGGGTGCCAATCTCCTACTCCACCCTGGACTCCATCGGACACTGTTTTCAGGTGAAGTGGCGCAGAAACAGAGCGCGAGGTCTGACTCCGCACATGATGGGATTTTATCATTAGCTTCAGGGTGGTAGGAATACATTCCAGTGTCATCTGTGCAGACGTGTGAGATAAATCTGCTTTTTGCACTTACAGCTGAACTTTTCTCCTCAGGTGACTGAGCAACAGCCCAAGAAGATGGAAGAGACAGCAGCCAGCAAAGAAAGAGCTGCAGAAATCTCAGTGTAAGTAGACACGCTCCTCCTTAGTCGTTTTCATACTGACCACTGTCTTGATTAACGGATGCATCTGATAAAGGGATAGTTCAGATGTTTTTAAAAAGTCTCAACAAGTGTTTCAGTATGTTACTTTGTATACGTAGCTCTATGAGTGTCCTCAAACTTGAAAGAAAATTAATTATTACCAGACCCATGAGCTAACAGCTCGTTAAATTAAGGCCAGGGCTGTTTATTTATTTATCTTTTTAAACAAACCAATTTTAATCATTGGACTTGTTTAAAAATGGCAACAATCAACTTTGGTTTGTGTTTGGGTCATTTGCTCATCAATAGGATTAAATCAAAACTATTTCTCCGTACTGAGGTTGATCAAACAGCTATCTGCCACAGGTAAGATATTAACTGTTTCTACATAACCCTGTTTAAAATGTGAAATATCCCTTTAATTTGGGAATTTCCTACAATTTTTAAAAACACCTGAATTTATTTGTTATGATTAATCACGTTTGTTCTGATGGTTTAATTCACAGAACCTCCCACGGCATCGCTGTACCTCCCCCCTCTGTGCCCACCATGCTCCCCAAACCCACAGACAGCAGCCTGCCGCCTCCTGCTCCTTCTTCAACAGACTCGGACCTCCCCCCTCCGCCTTCCTTTCCTACCCTCTCAGACCTTCCTCCACCTCCTCCTTTACCAAACATCAGCCCATCGAGCAACAGCTTCCTGCCTCCACCTCCTCCTGCAACTGGTGGTGCCTCTCCTCCTCCTCCTCCACCTCCCCCTGTGTCGGGAACTGCACTCCCTCCTTTTCCTCCGCCTCCTCCTATGTCAGGAGCTGCAATACCTCCTCCTCCTCCGCCTCCTCCTATGTCGGGAACTGCACTCCCGCCTCCTCCTCCACCTCCTCCTGTGTCGGGAACTGCACTCCC